GAGAGGGGAATGAAAATATATGTATATATACAATTTTCTCTCGCTTTATACAAACACAAACGCATTTTATACAATTTGCGTTTTTTGTATAAAGTGAGAGAGGCGAGTGAGAGAGCGAGATCTGGGAGAGGGGGAGAGAGGGGAACAAAAATATATGTATCTATACAATTTTCTCTCGCTTTATACAAACACAAACGCATTTTATACAATTTGCGTTTTTTGTATAAAGTGAGAGAGGCGAGTGAGAGAGCGAGATCTGGGAGAGGGGGAGAGAGGGGAACAAAAATATATGTATCTATACAATTTTCTCTCGCTTTATACAAACACAAACACATTTTATACAATTTGCGTTTTTTGTATAAAGTGAAAGAGATGGCGAGCTAGATCTGGGAGAGGGGAGAGAGGGGAACGAAAATATATGTATATATATAATTTTCTCTCGCTTTATACAAAAATGAGAGAGGCGAGGGAGAGAACGAGAGTGGCGAGCGAGATTCACCAGGAGAGAGGTGAAATAACAACAGTTTGCTACGAGGTACAACTAAATCAAACTATATTTATAGTATTTAATTTGAATTAATAGTTTGCTATTATATACAATTTTCCCTATAAATTATCAAAATATAGTGAGATATACTGAAAGTTGACCTAACAAATGAAATTAGATAAATTGTATCTAATAAAACTTATTATATTTATCTCTTCGCTATTTATGAAATTATTTTCTTCGCTATTTATGAAATATTTTCAAATATGGTAAGAAAACGAAGCAGCATTACAGTTGCACTGTCTAACGGAGATTGTCTTGGAGAAGCTTCAAATTTTTAGTTTTCCTTTGCAAGGATTGAGAAAATTTTGTTGTGATTTCTCCTCACAAGACAAGGTACAAGTCTATAACGTTTTCTCTTTTCTTCTTCATACAGTTATTTGACTTATGTTCACAAAACCAAGTCAGTGTTAAGATGCCCCTTACATGTTTGATAAAATGTCTGAAAGATTTTAGCCAGTTTTGTTTCTTTTTGGATAGTCCCAATATTGGAGTATTCAATCACTTCCCAGTTCCCACAATTTACTTTGTGTATTGTATATAGAACTACAAATGCAAATGGTGTTCCATGATAATATAATAACATAAAGAACAGACCTTTGTGCACACAATAAATTCAGACTTGAAAAATGCAAATGCTAAGCAGTTATTCAACTTTGTCACTTCTTTCTCTTATGAAAAAACAATAGTGGAGGTTATTTGGGATCAAATGCTGCAGACTTTTAGAAACAATATAGTGAACTTAATGCCATTATATGCTAGCATGCTTTTTCAGTTTGTTTAAGCTTATTCTATGCATTCTGTCAACTTCACATGAGTTATCCAGAACAGCAACTCATTGTCAAGATGCGTGAAGCGAACCAGCACAATTGCTTTACAATTCAAAAGAAAACACTTCGCTTGTTTTTTCTAGTTACAATTTCACATCAATGACAATTTCAAGCGCGGAGATATTTTAGTTGGAGGGATGGAAGAGCCTAATTAGGATCTCCTTATATAATTCAACTACTTTTTGGGAGAGCTAGTTGATCGCGAAGCACATTTAAAGATCATTACAACAATGAGAAGCAATTACAGAAGTTGAATGTCATGGTTAAAAGAACAATTGAGAAATGAAAGAAGAAGAACAAAATTGTGGCCAAATCTGATTGTACTAGTCATTTTATCTGCCTTTTTAAAATTAAACTTGTTACGAATATTTTCCAAGTTCAATGAAAAATATTCTCATTGCCTAAAAAGTATTTGTTTGCTTCTTCTTGAATAACTGCAACTATACTGTTAATTCTTTATTTTTGCAAGCTGAAGTCTAAAGAGTGAGACATCTCAATAGAGTTTTAACTCTTCATTTTTGTCAACACTCCAGACCAGTAAGAACCAGCAACAACGAACACTTTTGACACCGTTACTGATTCGCACCAGCAAAAATCAGTAGTGATCACTGCAAAACAGCAAAAAACAACAATTTGTATTATCTCTTCTTCCTCGACTAAAGTTGCCCTAGATTATCCTCCAAAGTTCTGATGGAAATAAACTTTTAGTTTTTAAAGCCTTGCTTCGCTGAAGGTGGAAAGATCGGGCGGGAGGGACATACTTGGGAATTTGAGGGAAAGCTTGGCATGTTCCAGTATTGGTGCCATGAGCTTCTTGACAGTTTTTAACCGAAGGATGAACTTTGCCACTTTTTAAATAGTACAAGAATGTACCTTAGGTTTGGGCCACAGCCCACAGTAGAGGGATGTTTATAGCCAAAAATTCATAAAAAGAATCACAGGTATATGAAATTTACCCTGGAAAACAACCCCAGAACCATGAAGACTCTTGATTTGGCCAGTTTGATCCATTGACTACTTTTGTTTTATGCTTCCAGAAGGCCTTCTTCTTTCTGGTAAATCTGACTGTCCGTCCGTTTCCTTCTCTGTGTTTTCCCTCTCCAAGCAGGTGGACTCACTGTACGTTTCTTTGCTGGTATCAGTAACCTTTGTCGCTGTGTGTTTATTTATTTTCCTTTTCATTGTTCTGTTCTTTCTCACTGCAATTGTTTTTCAGAATTTCCGTTTCGATTGATCTCATGGACTATTGGATACAGCTTTCCCTTCACGCGATTTCGTCACTTTAATTTTTCCCTTACCGCGAGAGCTTTTTTATGTTACTTTTCCAGCATCAATGGATACATTAAGTTTTCTTTATTAATTAACTCTACATTACTTCTTCCTTGTACACCATTGTTTATTTTCCTTCTCTCCTTTTAGCTAATATATCACCAGGCCTTCTCTAACAAGCATGTAAAAAGAACTTGAAATGACCAAATATTCACAGAGTTTATAACATACTGATATTACAAGTGATAATGTTAAAGTAATGAGAGAAAATAAAAGCTACTATAAAGAAAGTGAAGCAGGAGTGCACACACTTCCTTGTACATGTGAAAATATTTAAAAGGGAGAATGACCTAATCAAATCTTGTTGCATAAAACTAACTTGATGATCTTGCTCTTCGTCCTGCAGATTATCAAATAGAAAGTCCACCTTGAGTTGCACATGGTCATTATCAAGACCTATTGGATTTTGTTGAAGCCGCACCCTTGTTCTTGTTGGCAATTGTTACTGAAGGAGCCCTTAGAGCCACATTAAAGTTCTTGTTCCTTTTGGTTGATTCAGGAAAATGTCTAAGTGATATCAGCCTCAGGTGCATAGATTCTTCAAACTCTTCTTGATCGTAGTCATTAAACTGATTTATAACATCCGAAACCTTATGTAAATGAACAGCCTTACCTGATTTGCTAAAATCAATTGTTGATAGTGCTGAGTACTGAGTTTGATTTCTCACTACCAATAAAGGTAATTGAACTTCAAGCCCATCAACACTCACCCGAGTGTTTGCATTGTTGTAAACTTTTGTGTTTTTTTTCCAGGTTGACTTTTGCCTGTTTGATTGTCACAATTATTGCCGATAAAGTGAGCTTCCAAACATCTTTTTTCTTATGAGTCGATTGCTTATATTTCTTGACCTTGTGTCTGCGCCTAAGCATGTCCTTTGAAATATCTCTCTTCAAGTGGCTTAGTTGTTGATTGGCTTCATCACAAAGAGATACTTGGATTTCATTTCTATGTACGGTGGATATTGTAGACTGTTTCATGTTAATTTTGAACTTTTAATGGTCTCGAAGCCTTCTATTTTTGCTTACTAGTCATCATGTAGTGCTAGGTGTATAGTTGGAGTTGTACTAAAGTAGATTTTTTTTTTTTTTACTTTTTGTGTTCTAGAGGTAAATGGTTTCATAGGCAGAAGGCTAATTCCTGAACTCTGGTGGTTGAACGGGGGATTTTGATTAAGTTCACCATGGTTGCTACAAAAAGACGGCAAGAATTTCATTCTCTCTCTCTGTCTTTGGTTGATTCGGGATAATCCGACTTTTGTGATTGGGTTGAGCTAAGAAGTCCTTGCTTTCTTGTGTTAATTGCAGTAGAAGACTCCATGGGGTATTAGCAATAGGCTTGTCTGGCTTTGAAGAGTGGCAAATACACCATCTGGTATAAAACTGTCCTCAAAACTCTTAGAAAGTGTCGAAACCCACTGGGTGCAAACAATTTCTGAGGGCCATCGGACTGGGTAAAACCTGAATTAACCGTGGTGCACTTGCGGGAAACTCCTTGCCGAGGGCCTGTGCACCCCCGGGATTAGTCGGGGCTCAAAGAGACTCGGACACCCGGTGCAAATCAAAAAAAAAAACTCTTAGAAAGTGTAAATGGGCTTAGTGAACTTATCACTCCAATTCTGCTTATTTGATGAGCATACAGTGATGATGTCCAATGTATCCCTGAGTGTCTAATTGTATTTCATCATGCTTTGGTTTTTGGTGAACGCTTGCTTTATTTTGTTAAGATAGTAAAAAGCAGCTGATTTTTAGCTAAATACTATGCGAAGCTGGTTTTACATAGGGTCTGCTTTGACTGCTAGATTAAGATATGGTGTAGAGGAATACACTTTTTGGCCGAGCACTCACATTTATGTATATGTCACGTATCTTTCATTTTTTCTCTGGTCAGTGTTGAACTTGTTTCAACTAAGATACTGCAGCTGAATGTTTTCGGAGTGAACCAACGGCCATGGTCTGACTGGTTTGGCATGAGATCTGAAGAGGTCGTCTACCAGAGGCAAGATTAATGGTATTGTTCTTCATGTACATGTTTGATCTTTTTACTGAAACTTAAAGGATGAGAAAAGATATTGATGAAAAAGGATTTTATCATTATGTTATTAGTGACCATGTGGTGTTCTTGGTAACGAGGCATTGGAACATTAAGTCCATTACTCGAATTTATTGTCTGAAATAGGAAAAGCAGTAATACTGATTGTTGTAATGTTAACTGATAAACATTTAAGACTACTTTGGAAAGCAAAAGCAGCTGCAGAAGAAATCCAAGAATGCATCCCGGGTAATTCAAAAACTTTTCAAGGCTAAAAACTATCTAATGGAGAGGTGTACAAAAGGCTTCAGGGTGATTTCCCAAAGACTTCCCTGAGGAAGTTGGTGTGCAATAACAAGGGCAGTCCCAAATGGATTTTCATCTTAATATTAGCTATTATGGAGAGATTGGCTACAAATCATAGACAAGTGAAGCAGAGCCTGTTCTATGCAGTCAAGCAAATAACCGATGGAAAATATGTCTGTTGTGATGGAATAAACTCCTACAGTATCCAGAGGTGTAGCATGGGATGGGAAGAGGAAGTAGCATGGGCGGTGAAACTGTCACGCCCCGAGGCTATCCCCTTACGTAGACACGGGGACCTAGGATCACGAGTGACCCCAAGCTAACCCCGCTGGCATATCATAAACATACTTAAAGATTTTTAACGTAATAGACATATTGTGCGAAAGCTAGAAACATATCATAAAATGAAATGATGGGGAATACCCATTTTAAGTCTGAATATATATAACTGAGCAAGAGTTTAAGACAATGAACTATAACTCAAATACTAAAGCTGAATCTGTCTATGTCTGAAATAAGCCTCTAACTAACTAGAGATGATGAGACATGCCTCCAGCTAACTCTAGCAAATACTGAAAACTGAAATCAAAAGACTAAATATAGAAACATGTCTATTGTCCTCGAAAAATGAGGACTCACCACTGAAGCTGTTGAAGTGGAGATCGGGAGCCGATCTATTCGAAATCTGGATGATGAGGACCTGAACCTACATCACGAGAAGATGTAGCACAGAGTATGCGTCAGTACTTGAAAGGTACTGAACATGCAGGCTAGAATAAAGCTGAATAAAACGTATAATTGAACAAAGCGATAGAGCAATGATATAATCTGAACATGATAAATATGCTAAACATGCTGGATATGAACTATCTGAATGTAATGACCAAGTTTATAACATACTGAAACTGAATACTGAATTGTAACTGATAACCTGGTCAAGACACTAGAATCTGTCTGTGGGAGCTACTAATAACCGACATAAAACCACATGAGCTAATTGTGGAGTCCGATGTATATGCCTCATCGAGAGGACCAATATACCTTGCCAAGGGTATAGAGGCATGACTGTTGTGATCACTAAGTATAATGCCCACAGAGGGGACTTACCTACGGCGCACGTAGTTCTAGGACTATGAGGGTGACTGACCCTAGTCCAACTCGGTATTAAGCCTACTCCCAATAGAATGTATGGAATACAACAAACTGTAATAAACTGAATAGCTCGAGATTCAGACATATCAACTGAAAATGCAAGATAATGAAACATTCTTAACTGGAGCATGTATAACTGAATAAACTGACCTAGAAAGTGTAATTCATGAACTAAACGAATCTACACAACTAGGGTTCTGAGTTTCAAGCAAGAACTAGGCAATAATTCCACGAAAACATGGTAATCTGATTTGGATTAATCTAACAACTGAATCACAACATAAATCTGAAATTCTAGAAACCCTACGTCTAAGCATGATGTAGAGAATCAAGAATCTGACTGAATTCTAGGGACTTAATGGGTGAAAGGAACCCACTAGTGAAATCCCACATACATGGTGACAAATTTCACAGAGAAATCTTTCGATTTTGGGGATGGAACAGACGAAACCTTGCTGCGTTCTTGGACTAGGGCTTGGTCGACTCTTTCTCCTTCTTTTCGTTCAACTTGATGAATTTTTTGAGGAATGAGTTGACTAGGGTAAGTTCTAATTTAGTTACTAGGCTAAAACTGACCAAAACCACGTAGTTTAGGGGTTAAACGACGTAGTTTAGGGGTCCAACGCATAGGGAAAAGACCAAATGACCCCTGACTTAAAAGCTGTCGGGGGTCACCGACGGACCGTGGATGGACCGGCGGTCCGTTCTGGTCGGTCGTCGTTCGCGACTGGGAGTTGAAGACTGGGGGTCTGACCTACGGCCCTGGACCATAACCGTGGTCTGACCTACGGTCCTAGGTCCTAGCGTAGGCTGATCCTTAGCAGAAATTTTATGGGTTTCTGGGATGGGGCTGCAGGTGGCCAAATCCACGGACCCCACCTGCGGTCCGTGGGTGGCAACCGTGGGTTGCACCTGAAACTTTTGGAAATCTGCTGGTTGATCTGTTTTTGGATACGGGGTGTTACAGAAACATTGCAAAGGCAATAGTAGTTGAGGTTCATTTTATCTCATGACTTCGGCTGCTGCAACTTATCACATCTGGGCAGAGAGAAATGCAAGGATTTTTCAGCATAACAAGTAAACTCTCTGTGCTATTGTTAGATTACTTATACAGGAAATAGCTGGTTTAGTGCCAAAACTGGCTGATTATATGCATCATCTCAATTTTTGCCCACCAGCAGTGTAGGAGGATAGTAGTCACGAAACGTGTTAGAAGCATCACTCGAGTGTTTTCTGGCGCATGCTGTTTTTTATTTTGGCTTGAGCTGTAATTATTCAATTGTTAATAAATAAATGCTTGTTTACCAGAAAAGAAGAAGAAGAAGAAGAATTACTTCTAACAGAGAACTATCAAAGTTTAATAACATTGATAAAGAGGAATTTTAAACTGATTACATTAACTTTCCAAGATAACTAAAATACAATGAAATAAAACAAACAATGTGCCAGGAAAGTACAAAGCCAAAGTGAGCTTCTAATGACTTCTGTTGAAAAATTATTGTTCCCGGTGTTAGACAACAATAACTTGATAGATATCGGACTCCTAACAACATGATTATCGGAAATCCATGATATCGACCCTTCAACAAAATCTCCAGAAATTTCACCCGTTCGGGTGAAGGATATCATATATCTGGCTTGTTGGTTCACCTCAGTGAAGACAAGTTTGGTAGGCTCAACCAATGTATGAACGCCTGGAATCTGAGTGATGCTAACAAAATAAGTGGTGTTTCCATCACCAACATTTGTAACTATCCTTGTATATTTTTGAATCTCTGCTCCAAGTATAATGGAGTAAGAAGGATAGTTCAACTCTGCTTCAGATATACTTGATATCAATGAGCAATTCACATTTTGATGCGCAATGAACCCAATCTCCATGTTTGTGTAGCCTAGGCCACACAAATATTGAGTGTAGTTCATTGGGTTGATATCATATATTAGCCCCGGATTACTTGCTTTTGATGGATTAACGTGGCCAGAACCAATAGCAAGCACATCAGCAAGAAATTTCCTTTCATCAAGGATGGGTTGACCCTCGTGGTTGGATTGATCAGCTGTAGTCATAATTGCAGATTTAATTGCAGCTGGAGACCAATCTGGATGTTCAATTTTGAGCAGAGCCACAATACCGCTTAGGTGGGGGCAAGACATTGAGGTGCCAGACATGATGTTGAAGGTAGAATTTATGTCCTCCAATGAGAAAGGCCATGCAGCAAGAATATTTAATCCAGGGCCGATAATGTCAGGCTTTAGTATGCCTGGGCTTAGTTTGTTTGGGCCCCTGGACGAAAAAGCTGCTATAGATGGTGCATCGTTAAAACCCATCTTTGTTCCTTTGAAATCGATACCTGCCCTGGCAGTGGAGGATGATTTAATATACGCCTTAATCTTTTCCCCATCAGCAAAACTCAAAATCGTTGCCGGAAGGACCTGAGCAATTTCAAGAATTGTATCGCCAAAGACCTTTGTATTGACAAGAATCATGGTGACGCCCCCCGCGTCCTTTACCGCTTGGCCATGATAATTTGGAAGTGTGTCGTCAGTGTCACTATCACAAACCACAATTTTTCCCTCCACCTGAGCGGCTTTTAGTGCTCCTGGTTCACATTGGGCAGTCTCCTCACTGTATACCACTGGAAATAAGGTACGAGGAAAGTTTTTAGATTGGAAAAGTGATTGACCATCATATGATTCCCCGTTTCCTAGCACGGTTGTGGCTATTATTTTTCTATCATGTGTGCTGGCACCAACTGTGAGAGTCCAAGGTGCCTCATTAAACAACGTAGCACGGCCTGGACCATTGTTACCCGCAGAGGTGATCACGGAAATACCATTCTGCATTGCAGCGAAAGAACCAACAGCAGTGTAGTCATCATAAAAGCTTTTGTAAGGTCCACCAATGGAGATTGAGATAATGTCTACACCATCATCAATCGCGGCATCAATTGCAGCCAATATGGCATCATTTGGACAGCCATGCAGTGCACACACCTTGTACATGGCAATATGGGCAAGAGGGGCCATGCCAGCTGATCTGCCATTGGCATTGCCAAATACATTTACCTCATCAACAAAGTTTCCGGCAGCCGTGCTTGAAGTATGTGTGCCGTGACCTTCCTGATCAAATGGTGGATCAGTAGAGCCACCCAGAAAATTCCTTGCACCAATGAGCTTATTGTTGCAAGTTACAGTTCCACTAAACTCGCACTTTCCTTTCCATTTAGCTGGTGGAGGCGGCATGTTGTTATCGTGGAAAGAAGGATGGCTTGGTGTAATCCCGGTGTCTAGAACCCCGATAATTACACCCCTTCCGTAATTGGATTCTTCCCAGACACCAAAATGTTGTTGCAACCCCAAAAAATCAGGAGTATGCGTGGTGTGCAATGCCAACATTTTTTGTGGCGTTGCTGAGATGAATCCGTTTTTCTTTTCCATTTTTTTCACTTCGTCTGATGATAATCTAGCTGAAAAGCCAGAAGCCACGTGACGGTAAGAGTGAATGATTCGTGAGGATTGATCATCCTCAGAATGAAGAGCAACTCTCGGTAGGAAGGACCGGTAGTAGCTCTCGAAGTTAATGTTATCTTCGGGCAAACTTACATGAATTATGTAAGTTTGCAAATCATTTTCAGCATTATTGGGATGGAAACTCAGCCAAAGAGTAGAAGTAAATATGAAAATAGAAGGTAGCAATGGATGCATGTTTACAAATATTTGTTAGTTTACTACAAGAATTTGAAATACAGAAAGGCTTGGTGATATTAGATGAGTGGTGTTTCAGTGTATCTTCTCTGTTTGTTGATATCTTCTATATATAGAGTTTGTTGTTGATATAACCATAAATTATGCATGCATGTGATTTGCCTAAGAGTAGTGTAGTAGTAATTAATTAAAGGCTACTAATATACCTATTAAAAGAGTGTAGACATATATAGCTAACAATTATTTATAATATATCGTTTCCTTTTTTTTCATCTTCTTCTCTATCAGTAAATAAAAATTAATCGACTAAGCAAAATGTGTCAATATTTCATTTCTGCAATTTTAGATATATGAGTTTTCACCTTTTATTTTCTTTGCAAGATTCTCATACTAATTAAATATGTGTTTTTAAAAAAATTGTGACTAATTTGTCATGTATCCTAATACTTTTCTTTCTAATGTATTATTCTTCAAATTGTAATGTGTTGAACTTGCTAGCATGGAATTGCAACAATACGGAATGAAGGTTTCGGTTGCAATGAATGTCTCAATATAAAGCTAGATATATAACATTATATAAAGTCGACAATCAAAACAATATAGTATATCCAAACGTTAACAATTATGCATCCAAACAAGTATGTTTCGTTGTCAACTTAAATTGATGTTAACTTTATATGTTAGCTGGTCTGTATACGATCGAATATAGCAACTTTCTGCCATCTACTATTACAAGGAAATTGTTTTTCAAATAACATTATTTGTGTTATGTCTTATGCATTGTTTTATTTGATGTATTGACTAATTAAATATATTATATAATTTCTAAAAAAAATTATTTATAAAAATATCCTCCACAAATACATTGGGCTACAATTATATATGTATATATTTGACCATTGCTAACTAGTAGTTAAAAATGGGATGTGCAATAAAAATTGAAGGTAGTGATGACATACCTAGAAATAACTTGAGCTATAAATTTTGGATTTTTCCATAAAATTAACAAAAAACTTTAAGATATAATAATTTATTGCTATCTCATTTTATACAACTATGTTGTTGGATACATGTGCAATTTTTCTTAATTTGTAGAAAGAAAGTAATTCCACATTTGGGCTGCCTACATGTTAGTTACTATTAGTTGGTTACTATTTTAATTTCGTCCCCTATGTACTATAAATTAATGTCCGGTGTAATATTCTCTTGTTTGGATTAAAATTGGATTTTCATATATTGTGTCCGTCTTAAACCAAAAAGGAAATATATGAATACATATTAAAACTTAATCCATTTAAACAATGACTCTGATTTTCTATATTAAGGTCAAAAAGTTCTTTTGTTTGATAAGTAAATTATTATATTTATCAAAGTGGATATGTAGAACACAAATTGAGAAGAACTCATTTATAGCAATCCAACTATCTTTCTTTTGTTTTGTTTCTAATTTAAAACCGCATGCATTTTAATTAACTTCGTACGTAAATATGGTCCATCTTTGATCAGTTTGCATTAATTTAATGTTTTTTTTTTGGTTTAACATTTTAAAAATTCGATAATATTTGGTTTGATTTTAATTTTATTAAAAAAATAATTGAAGAAATAACTAAACAAAATTGAACCAATAAGTATATTTTTTGAACAATTTTTTATGCAAAAATGCAACACTAGTGAGAAAAAATAAAGTATGAACCGTCACTTATTGTGTAACAATATCGATAGCTTATGCATTATTGAATAGATTTATACTTCCTTCATTTCATATTAATTGATCACTTTTCATTTTGCACTATGCTTAAGAAATCATAAATAAGAAGATAATTTTACTAATTCACCCCTTAAACACTATGGTGATATAGAAAAAATTTAATTAAAGCTTTCTTGATTTAGTAAGGTGATCAATTAATGTGGACAACTATTTTTAATATAATGATCAACTAATATGAGACAAAGTGAGTTTTGTTTAGTGCATTGGATCAATATAAGCCGGAAGTTAAACATAAAGAGATGGAGGTTCGGTAAGTGTAGGTTATTACTTACTATATATATAGAGGGAGTCGATTGAAAAATAACCCATGCTTGATGACTAATGAAGGGGGGAAAACGTGAGAAATGTTGCACTCATTCATTTTCATTCTTGATAAGTTGGGTAGCATTCATTTTCATTCCAATTACTTTCTTGGAAATGATATGTTGCACGCCTTCCTCATTCCAATGCCACTTTGTGATCATCTTGTGTGCAGGTAGCCACCAAGGGAGTTGTCACTTACATGATTTGCCTATGTCCACACTATTTCAAGCATCTTACAAATGACAATTTAAAAATGATTTTTTATAAATTAAATTGAAACAAATGAGAGAATTTAGTTTGCTTAGAGCCACAATTTTTTTTTAACATATTAACAAATGAATTATCAAGATAAGTTGAAAAACCATTAAAAATAATTGTCATTTGAATTAGATTTGCCCCGTCAAAAAAATTAATAAAAAAAACAAGACTATAATCTTATTTTGTGATATTGACTTCTTCATTTTTTACTAAGGAAATATTATACATTTTAAATTTGATCAAGACTAATTTATTTTAAATGATGAGTTCAATGAAAATAGTACAATTATTCTTACACATTACCAATATCAAATTAATCTTCTTTATATTCTAACTTTTGATAACAAAAGAAACAAAATTAAGATATAATATTAATTTCAATTCCTTGACATGTAGTTAATTCAAAATTTTCAAATTAAAAATAAAGTAGAAGCTAAAATATATAGTTGAACATAGTAACTTTCTTTATATTTTTGACATATGAATAATATCCTCTCAATTATCCATAGACAAATATTGTTAAACTTAATTTTAACTCTCAATTATATATAATCATAATTAGAACATTGGAACACCTAAATAACAATGCTACCATTCATACTTCTATATGACAAAAAAAAGTTGCTATAAAAAATACTTTTTCTTTAGCTAAACTTATAAATTTAGATAGATGAATGATACATGAAACACATTAATATTATCCCATTGGATTGGAATAATTTTTTATTTTATTTAAAAGTCAATATATGATAATGAAAATGAAAATACAACTATCCAACTTGAAGTTGTATTTCAAGTTTGAAATTATTTTTTCATCCCACTTTCCACTTTTAATTTAAGCATGAACATTATTTCAAATATTATTTGCAATTAGTATAACAAAACACGTCTCAATCTTCCTAAAAATCAAATAACATGATCTTTTTAAAAATAAATCTATATTCGAACACCTACTTAAAAGAAGAAAAAGTTGTTTTAGGAATGTTGAAATTGTGAATGGACTTCGCATATTTAAAATTATATCTTAAATAAAGAATTTTGTAAGAATAATATTTTGCATCATCTTTATTTGTTACGTTCTTTCTTCCTCTTGTTTGCTATCACGTTAATCGCCCATTGAATTTTGTTTTAAACACTATGTAACCCATAAAAAATCATCATTACATGCAATTAAAATCAATATAAAAAAACAAACAAAGTAAGTAAGGACATAATTTAAAAAAATTAAAAAGAAATATTAATATTGGCAAAGAATATGGCACCATAAAAACCTTTGAAAATTATAGAACTTCAATATAATTTTCAAATGTTGTTTGCTTATTTTCAATACAGGTTCTTGGCTTTCTCTTATCATATAAGAGAGTTCACGCTGAAGCAGGTACGTCTTCGTCGATGTGCCTACTTCAGCGTGCTTCGAAAAAAATTTAAAACCTATTTTTTTCTATTTTAATTTAATTAGTGTATAATTTTTTTAAAATTATCCAATTCATTTTAGCTATTCTCTTATTATATAAGAGAGAGTTCACGTTGAAGCAGACACGTCTCCGTCGACGTACTTGCTTTAACGTGTTTCGAAAAAAAATATAAAATATATTTCTTTTGTTATATTTAATTTAATTAGTGTATAATTTTTTCGAAATTATCGAATCCGTTTTAGCTATGATTTTTAGTTTTAAATTCATATTCTTTAGTTATAGTTTTATTATTTTGAATGTCGATAATATTGTTTATATCTTGTAACTATCTTGAGTAAAAATCAACGATCGATAATGAAAAAAACTTTAATTATGGACATCTTAACGGACCCTTTCACATTAAATTTGTGCAAACAAAAAGTAATTAACAACTTAAAATATTTAAAAATCATATTAAAATTTATTTAACTTTCAAAATTTTATCTATATCACATATATTAAAATTAAAAAAATAACAGATATTGGGCTCGTGCTTACACATGCACCTGTGTCTAGTTTAAGTATAAGGGAGTGTTTAGATTGATTTTTTTAACTGATTTGTAAACGAAAGGCAAAAGTTGGAAACACTCAACTTTTGGCTTTTGATTTATTTTTTTAAAATTTTTTCAGTTAAGCACGTTTTGTTTTCTCACACATTTTCAAAACTTTTAAAAAAAAAAAACTTAAAATAAGTTAATTCAAATACTCACTCCAAATACCCACTAAGTAACGTGACTTTGAATTTTTAAATTAGTAATGGTTCCTTCTCTTAATGATGCAACTATGGAGAGAAAATGGTACTTATACGGAAAGAAACAAGTATAACATTAATTTTTGGAATTGTGTTGTAGTTATAGCCTTAATTACTGAAATGTAATGACGTATTTTCTTTTATATCTAGAATTTAACAAAAATTTTTTAATTATAATGCAAAAAAAAAACTTTAAAAATTGAGAAATTAGATAAATATCTTGCTTGATCTCTCTATATATTCCCCCTTTTAATTCAACAATATTAAATGTAAATAATTATTTTATTAAAGATTGATAGATTAACTTTATTTGGTTGTTCAATTAGTTTAAGAAATATATAAGAGAAATTATCAAAAACAAAAAAAATATCAATGCTCGACTAAGAAGAGTGTCACATCATTTTTTTATTACTTTTATTATTATTATTATATTATTATTATTATTATTTCTATATTATTATTATTA